TCAGGGGTTCCATATGAGGACTCGAACGGATATGTGTAGCAGCTTGCTTGGTTGGCTTAGCTTAGAATCATATATAGATATTAGGAAGCTAACATTTTTTGGAAGATTGTGTAATTTAGGGAAAGAGAGTGTGTCTTGTACTGTATGTTTTACTCGCCTTTTTATGGCGGATGTAAGCACTAATATGCATGAAAGTAATTTGAATGATCGCGGATTCATGAATGATGTTGTTCGAGTTTTGAGAAAATATGATCTGTATGAAATGGTAAAAGAATGTTTAGCACGCGGATCTTTCCCTTCAAAGAGTAAATGGAAGAACAAAGTAAAATGTACAGTTCATTCATACGAAGAAAACTCGTGGAAAGAAAGAATGGATGATGACCGCGAGTTCTATAGATTTAAATTAATTCATAATAAACTAGCTCCACACATATTGTGGAAGATATTAATTAAGTTTCCTCAGAATAAGGAATCCATAGGTAGTATTATGAAACTTATTGTGTCCATCAGAAATGTAAACACAGTTGAATTATGTCACAGATGTGGCCAAACGTATGAAGATGTGTATACTCATATAGTCTTACAGTGCAATTTTACTGAAGAAATTCGAGATCAATTATGGTGTCAAATGATCAATATCAGTGATCATGAGTTTAGCGTATATTTACATAATCACTCAGATTTTGACCTATTCCATATCTTGATTGGTGGACAAGTAATGTATGAATTGAATTTAAAAGAAATATCACAGTTTTACCTTAATTCAGTCCATTATATTTCAAAAATGCTTAAAGCATATTATGGCTAAAATGTATATGATACAAATTACATCTAAAGAATTATCATTAAGTGCAATATATATATATATGAGTAATGTAATTATGATACATCTTATATGTTACTTTGGTATTTTGTAACTATTTAATCATTATTATGCTTATGTTATAATAATCACTATTGCAAAAATGATGTACTTCAATGTTCCGATGTGATTTTGGAACGACTTAATTACTATAATAATCCTAATGTTATAATATCTTGGTAATAATTTTGATTTGTATGCCAATTCAGCGTTCTCTTTCACTAAATTAATGTTGTTCTTTTTGTGAAATCTTCTTAAAGGAGGAAATAAAGAGAATAATAATAGACAAAGATGAAACGGATGACAAACCACAATGGAACATACAAATAACGCGAACATAGCAAAACGACAGTTATATATAAAATATACTGGATACAATTTGGTATGTTCGAACACAAGACAATTTATCAAATCATAATCATTATCAATGAACTATTATTTCATTTGTTGAAAAATATATTCGGTGTTCTGATCTGGCATATTATCGATCTCAATCTCTGCGACTTACCTGTACTGCTTTTATCTGCTGTTATCTAACGGATCAACTGATATACCTTTGGCCACTGAGCACAGATACCGGATAATAATAACCAGTGACATGCATCAAATATATTTTAGAATAAGGAAATACGTGCATCTTAGTACTACTGACCTTGGTCGAGTCGTCATATTTGGGGAAATTAACTATTTCTGTGTATGTTTAATTCTGTGTATAAACAGAGGTGTATATAACACATGTGTGCAACCTGTTATACAAGATATCATGATAACACACCCAGATATTGTGATGTGAATTATCAAAGTTTCCTATGAAATATGACTGATCACTGTTGACAACTGGAAACTTTCCTTTGGAGTAATGTTTGGTCAGTTTATTGTAACAGAGGTCATTATTTATTGATTCCGTTAGGAATCGAACTCGGGACCCCTGGCTTACCAGTCTGACGCTCAACTAATCGAGCTAATGAAAAGTTCTCTCTATCCGTGTGGTATATTGTGGTTAGTATTTTACCAGGGTACAACCTCCCCCTCCAGAAAATAACTCGTCCTCGAGTTTCCAGGGGTTACTGCTATGCTGGTGGGGCATGGCTAAGTACTATTCCCGGGTCCCTACATGGCCGTCAATGTAACAGAGGTCATTATCTATTTTCATGCCTCCACTAGGAATCGATCCCGGGACCCCTGGTGTACTATTCTGACGCTCAACCAAGTCCTCTCTAGCCGAGTGGTATATTGCAGTTAGCATTTTACCAGGGTTACAATATCAACATACGAGATCTGTTAGTCACGTACATCGTAATCACTGTTTTCTGTGTGACTTTTTGGGAAGCTAAAACATGCAGAGGCAGTTTCATATAGAAATATATATATTCAGTGCGAAGAGTTACCGATGAAACTCACAGCAGAGTTCAACATCAACAAAAGTCCATTGGTAACAGTAAAGAAATGAAAAATGTACACCAAAATTTCCCACTTGGTTTCCGACTTGGGATTACTATGATTACCAACTCAAAACTCAACCCAAAACTACATCTTCACAACACTCTCAACATTCAGTGTCTAAAATCATAGGTGATGCCAAAGTAACAAGTTACTATGCTTCAGCAAAATCAAATTAGGAATGACTTTACATAATGATCACATGTTGACACCTTTCTTTACGATTGAAAGTCATCTGAACTGTATTTTAAATCTAGTGTTTTTAATGCGTGGCGTTTAGGTGGAATAATCGCCGGTTCCTTTGCAAGTTCAGCAGTTGTTAACTCCGTCACTGTCCTTGCCGTGTCAAAACATGGATACGCTTAGATGTAGCTCCGAAAAGTTGAAAATATTTGTCTGTAGGTCCGATTAAACATTTCGTTGATGTAAATATTGTGCATACAACCATAAAGGGATTTCACTGCCATAATGTATGAGTGGGTTTCAATCAAATTTGGTCGGAAACTTCAACGGGGGTAGGAATATTGATGATATTGGATTTTAGTTTTCATTACTCTTTAAATGCGTTCCCAAATAGAGAAATAAAATGGGTGTAACTTTTTAATCGTACTTCTCCTTCGTGCCTGCAGCCTATAAACAAAAAAGGGAAATTTCGTAACATTGCTATAGGACCATACCAACGTGTTTATATAATCATCATCTTAACTAAATTTCAATAAATCTTGGGCAATTTATATTTTGACACAGAGACTCATGCAAAAAATAGAGTGAAAATAACATCTGTAGTTCCCCAAGAGTAAGTTTCGTCTGCCTTATCGCCAAAACGCGCCATGTAGATATTGATCAATCAAAGTAAGTAATATTACTATTAATAATATTATAAGGTTCCAAAATGCAACCAAACGAACATCAACCATGTTTAGCTTCATATCATACAAAGAAATAAAATATTTCTCAACGAGATCAGTACGACGATCGTAAAACCCGTAGTTTACATCAACCTGAGTCTTCAGAAACCACGTGTCTGTCTCTTGACGACGTCTCACATAAAAATCTTGATGACGGGAACAGACCCTTGAATATGTGATCAACTACGACATTTAAATACCATAGGCTGTAAATGAAGCAATGTGCCCATCTAGAAATGACAGGGAATTGTTAAAATTTGGGTAGAAGTAAAACTGATTAACTTTTGTATAAACGGTAGATATGAGTCCCATATATCGCGATATGTTGGATAGAGTATTTTTTTAAGATCCTTCCTCTTTAAAAGGAAGAAGTTGATGTTATGCAAATTTGGTCTGAAGCATCATCGACTGAAGACGGATTCTATTCTGCCTCAACCCCCACCACCACACTATATACAGATACTATTATAGCGTGGTCAGGACTGTGTAAATGATATTGCTAATTGAGATTGTACATAAAAATGAGTAACAAAACAATATCATTATAGGCGGTCCCGGTACGTCCATAGCTCTGTCACCGCCGGACACTACATACACCAGGACAGAGGGCGATACATTACCAGATATCACATGTTCATCGGATTGTAGACCTGGCTGTACCTTCGTCTGGACACGACCGGACAATACCAACTTTACTGTTTCACCTGTATTGTCACTGGAACAACTGGAGACGTCGGAACACGGGACGTACAAGTGTACAGCTAGAAATATTGCTGGGGAATCAACTTCAACAGTCAGTGTTTCCGTACATTGTAAGTACAATTTTGTTCCTTTTGAAATAAAGAAAAAGGAACCGGATAAATGTGTAATTATTGAAAATTGTTCCCACTTTTTTACTTTACTTTTTAGATGGTTCAGTTTTAATCTTTACGTATACTTCATTTGTATTTACTTTAAAATGATGTGTCTGTTCGATGTTAGGAAAAAACAGCTGACAGACGTCTTGGATAATGACTGTTAAAATATTGGTAACACCACAGATATCCCAACGTGATTTCTCTATCATTTGTATATAAGGTCATATTCTAAAATGTAAACAAATATAACCCTTTCATAAGTACTACAGTATCACTGACAAGATATTTTTTTGTTAATATGGTTAATAATAGAAAATGTAGTTTTAATATAATCACCAGAAAATGTAAATATGTGGACAAAGTGTTCATGATATTACCAGCACTGTCTTTTTTAAAGATATGTGACGTAAATGTCTATGAGTTTACCATGAAAATGTAAAGACTGATAGAAAAAGGGAAAGTAATTGAAGCAATTCACCATATAGTAATTATTTGTGTTATGGTCTTTGTACATATTAATGTAATGATTGCTAAGGCGAGGAAAACTCATAAATACAAATAACAGCTCTGTGAACTATAAATTTAGCACTGCAAAGATACATTATTCTGAATTGGTGAGCATTGCAGTAGATTAGGAACTTATCTGATTATGACTCGTTCACATATAACATGAAGTGATAAGTTTGGTAGATAATACAATAAGTGAATAATGTGATAGATATGTTGTACTCTTTCAATTATTATTGATATGTAAATGTATTACCATTAATATTTACCCTGTAAATTATTAACAGCACAAGCAAGAATTCCGACCTTTGACAACCCATCGTTATATGTATCTATCTGAATACCTATCTATCTGTTTATCTATTTACAATTTGACACCCAGACGCAAATTCAACCTCGTATATGAATGAAAATGTAATTCTTCAGATGGACCTGGGGACAGCATTTCATTTGAACCTCAACAAGATACCGTTGACGTCGCTGAAAATCATACCATCACAGATGTCACTTGCTCTGCTGACTGTAGACCGTTGTGTACCTACACCTGGTCTAAATCAGGAACGAATTACCCGAACCCGTTGAGTCTATCTATGGCCACGAGGACAAATGCTGGACAATACACATGTACAGCCAGTAATACTGTTAGTCAAGGCACTAAGACGTGGAACCTTTTTGTCAGATGTAAGATACGACTTTGTTTCTTTGGAATTCTCGGGCCGAATGAAATAGACCCAATATCAATAAACAGCTTAATGTCTCAAGCAAACACATACGTATATGCTAATGAGTTGTTCTTTTATAACGTAAAACAAAATAATAACACGAGCAAGGTCGGTATCGTATAGAAAACTTTGTATAATGGTGGATGAGGCGGGATCTGTTTAACCTTTCTGAATGCATATCTCAAGGATCACGAAACGATCTTAACATTATTAATGCAGGAGGGGCGGGGCCAAATATATGAAGTCCTACCCCTCCTGTAATAATGACTGGATTATACATACATTTAATCTTAAGCATTCTCCGGTGAAGGGGAATCAGTTTCGCATAAATGGTAGACTCTGATTCCCTGAAGGGTAGAGACAGGGCTCAAGAAGGGAAATACGGATTTTTTTTAAAAAAAAAACCTTCATTTCATGTTGGAATGATTGTCTGAAGCATTCTTGTGTGAAGGAGATACCATTTTGTTTAAAAGGTGGGTCTCGAAACTCTTTGCCAGTAAGGGTTCGGTTCAATTTGAGAAAGCAGAAAAAAAATCTAGTTATATCAGGAATAATTCTTTGGATGAAGTTTAAGCAATAAATTATGTATAAACAGTGGGTCTAGACCCCTTCGGTAGTGTAACAATAGGGGAAATACAGAAGATTCTATATAGGTAATCTCTAGGAATGATTGGATTTTGTCCCAGTTAAAAATACAGGAACTTATGATGAAGGGAATTTAAATATGTGTGATTTGATATACCTTATATCGATGGGACAGGAGCATGAGACCAAATAGGGGAATGATATATAAATAATTTAAATATGTTCCATTAAGTTTAGATTTCAACAAAATCACGTGAGCGTTGTCCTCTTTTTTCAAATCAGAATAACACCAATATTTCTTAATGTGTCCATCTCCTGAAAACATTAAAGTAAAAAAAAAAGTATCTTAAGTAGACGTCTTAACAGAATAAATGATTAATTCAGATGGATATATTCAGGTTCTTGTCTTTGTGTGACAAAAACGTCTAACACGCTCTGCAGGAAAACAACATGCATGTTAGAGTTAATTAAGCCTTAAGCCTTTTGGGTCAACAGAATGAGCATTTACAACTCATTACAATACAGCACTGTGTAAGTAGTTCAGGTAATACAGATTACCATTCTCCGAATAATTTCTTTAGAATGCTTATTGTTTACGTACAGATTACTTGGGGTCTAAAACTGGTGTTGGATTTTTCTTCCTTTTCATTTAATGTATGTTTGGGTTACAACACCATCTTGCTTTGGAAACTTGAGATTGATATTTGTAATGGTTTAAGTTCACACACTTGATGATAAGAAAGGAATTAACAGACGATTACAGAGAAAAAATGTATAAAGGTTGTTGCCGTGTTTTGCTTGATTAGTACTCAATGCTTGTTAACGTAAAATACTCTGCATTTCAGTTCCACCTCGAATTATCGATGTTGTTTACAGCCGAGGAGATGTTGACATGAGAGAACATGAATCTAAATCACTGATCTGTACTGTGGAGAGTTATCCTCCGTCCACAATACAGTGGCTTTATAAAGCTAACAACACTATTCTACTCAACACCCCTGACGTCTTAGAGAGTACCTTTACCCTGACTAACGTTAAATGTCTGGACACAGGACTGTATACCTGCGTCGTAAGGAACAGCATGTCTGCAACAGCTGTCACCAGGGACATACCTGTCAACGTTCTCTGTAAGTTTCATTTCCGATGCGAATGTCAAACTATCTTTACGCGTATGAAGTAATACATTGATCACTTTTTGTTAACATTAATTCCTGGAGCTGAACTCCTATCAGCTGTGATTATACAGTAAAGAAAATCAAATTAAGCATTTACAGAGGCTCTCCAATAATCAATACGATATTTAAATTCCTAACATTTTTAAAAGTCAAACTACTCATTACATGTTGTTTTCGAATTCCCGTTGCTGGATAAAGGATGTTAACAGATAAAACAATTAACATAACCGTCATGAGTCGGATTCCCAAATAATTCATGTTGTGTACTGTGACTTCTATTATTCTATAAACTGAGCCGTCAAATTCACAAACTACCTATAGATATAAATGTTATCTCACTACCGATTATATAGCACTGGAAAAGAACAGTACTTTCCGTACTTATTGCAAATTCTTGTTTCTCGGTTTTCGATGCTATTTTTGTTTTCCATTTTGATAACCATAAAGCATACATTAACGGCCGTTTGAAACAGATTTTCCACCAAATGGAAAACATTGCTTGATTGTTTCAGTCGTTTAAAACAATGCAAAATAACATCAAATTATTTCTGTTACATGAATATAAACTGCACATACTATGTGCGATTATAGACGTAATACACGCATTGATGTAATCATTAACTTAATTACATAAAATATGGTCTTTTAATAAAGTGTACTTATGGAACTTGGGAACCATGTGGGGAAAAAGGAGGAATATACCAACATGTCAAAGTAATCATAATCCAAACCCAAATATTTTGATAATTAATACGTATTTAGTTAATGAATGTTGTAACCTGCCATAGTTGTAATATGTTGTTATATTTTTCATTTAGGTAAACCTCGCCAGGACCAAAGAGTTGCACTTGAACATACCTTTTTATTAGCAACGTCGGAAACGCTAGTCATTCCTGCTAGATTCCTGTCTAATCCAGAGCCATCATATAGTTGGTCATTTCAATCACCAACAACAGCAGCTGTCACTGATCTTGTTGATGGAAGAAACAATTTTAATGTACAATCTTCCTTCGTAATGATGAATCTGTCAGCAGTATCAGTTGGGACACGTGCAGATATACAAGAACCATGGTTTGGCGTGTACAATGTAACGGCAACAAACAGTCAAGGCAGTCACTCACTGACTTTCACAGTTCTGGCAAAAGGTAGACAACTCCGCTTTAAATTAATGGTACCGAGTATTTTATTGAAAGATAACATTTTCGCTGGGATATTTAATCTATATAGAATATAATTATCATTGTAAAATCGCCACTGTAAAGTTTTACTATCTATATACACTACTTATAAGACTGTGTAAAAGACACAAAAGTGAATAGCACGTTTTGATAATTTAGCGTTCAGGTACAGTAGCTGTTTCCTCCTTAAAGGACCTATAAACTTATTTTTGAAAATATCACAATGCCCCACCATCTGAATCCACCAATCTTGTTAACATGGCGATGATCATAAATATTTCTTCTTTTTTGGTTTATTTATAAAGACGAATTCTCAAATGTAGCATCAGCAGTTAATTTATATCCGTGTAAATACATTGATATGTGTATAAGCTTAAATGTGTAAAGGTATCGAATCAAGCATTCATGGAAATATTCCGAATGTTTGCAGCGTGAATATAATATATAAATAAGGAGTAATAATACTCAATGGAACAAAAGTAACAAACCAGCATTTGTGTCATCTTTTAATTATGAGCTAATTTGCGGGAGGCTAAATGAAAAATATTTTCCATGGAAATATTATTATCCCTGCACACACACCATCATGTATTCACAAAATTCGTTACTATTTTGTTTCAAATAGTTTGGAATATATTGTATTTGTCATGTTGATTATGATCTCTACTCTATTGTATAGTATCGATATTATGGATTCGTTACAGGAAATCCCAGACCGCCAACGAATTTATCAGTCAGTTGTGGGAATCCATATTCCGTCCATGTATCGTGGAATAACGGAGGGTACACAAACTACTTCCATGTTTTATACAGTACTGATAACTTCATACGGTCACTTACGTATCCCACCGATATTTCAGAAAAGAGCGCAGACGAAAATGACGTTTACAATGTTACTATAGACAATCTCGAAGGAAACAGGCTATACTTCTTTAAGGTCATAGCTTACAACTCTAACGCGAACCGTACATCACTTGAAACAGCTGGATGCAAAGTTCTGGAAGGTACGGTACTATATCTTGTGTCCAATATGAAATACATTTTGTTTTTGAAGATATTTTGTTAATGATATTTTTCTGAAATTCTTATCTATGAGAGATTTATGTAATGAAAATCAAGAAATGACAAATTGGAGCTAAGACAAAACAAATATATTAATTACGAATGACATATTAAATAATAATGTGTAGAATTTTCTTTAACACAAAAGTAATGATCGTGGCGTATTGTTTTTCATCTATTTGTGAGTTTGCCTGTTTGTATGTTGTCAACACTATCCCTGCCAACAGCTATCAAGCCGTAAGAGGGAGGGCTTCTATATTTGGCACGTGTGTTCCTTGTGACAATGCCTTTCACGGTGATAGCAACATTTTTGACAATGTTACCTTGACCTTGACCTTTCATATACAATTAAAAAAAAGAAATAAAAAGCATTCCCAAAATGAAGACATAAGTGTTTCATAGTGTGCATACAATTAAGACATATCTTACACAGTACAGTTTAATATCCACCTTCAGAATTTTGTCGAAATTCATCTCGATCAGCTTTAACTGTTACTTCACAATGTATATATACAAGGGTGTTACGATATTCTATTAGCTAGCTGTGACGTCACAATAATTAATTCATAATACATGGATTCAGACGAACGATACTGGATGAGTATATTAAGTGAATAAAACCGCAAACCCTTTTACTCTAGGTAAATCCTGTAGTACTGACAGCATCTGTATAACAGGAGTTGCGCTGACATGCATTGGTGGACTTATGATTACGCTAACATTTGGACTTGGAATCTTCATCTCTCGTATGTATATCTATGTGATCAATACTAAGTATTCCGCAACAACACATCGTATCTTACACCTTTTATGCTTTTTCGTGTACTTATTTAAGTAATTCAGAATTAACATTTATTTTCCAGGAAATGGTCGACTTCCATTAACGTAAGTGAACATCGGCTTTAAATGATACATTATTCTTTTCTTTCTTATTAAAAAAAATTCCCTATGTAATTTTCTCACGCGGGTGAGTAACATTGAACAACATGTAATTCATGTCTGTTATTGACGTTTATTGTTTGAATGTTCATAATTTCAGCAAAGGCCGGCGTTTGAAGGGCAAGAAGGTTGATAACGTACAACTTCGCGAACAAAGTAAGTATTTAAATGACATTTAAAATAAAACAGACAATCTACACTGATTGTTGATATATATATATATATATAACTGGGTTCTTATTAGATTATGAAAAGTATACAGAGAGGGGGGAGGGGGGTGTTGGACGGAGGATATTAAATGTTATCATAATTTGTTTCCGATACCTCATTAATTAAAACACTCTGTCAATATTATTCGTTTATTATGATTTAACAATGACAGTTATCTATGTAACCGCGATCCACTTTAAAAGTTGAACGTACAGGTATTTTGTCGTGTTTATAAACATAACTATTTATTGATATGCATTATTAGTTTTTGATACATAATGTGTCTTTTTTGTATATGTTATTCTGAAATGTTCTTTTCGTTTTGTTTGATATAAAGATGTTCATTCTCAAGGGGACGATGAAAGGTAAAAAATCATTTTCATTTACATTAGGACACTACAATTTCTTGTTCTTGTACAAATTTTGGCACATAAAAATTGAAAAAAGATTTACTCCAAGACATCTATAACATTTGGTTTCATTTGATTCAGTATCTATAATGTAAATGATTCCATTTGATTCATTTTCTATACTATTAGTGTTTCCATTCAATACAGTTTTCCCAAATAACTGAAATACGTTTTACAAACTTCATATTCATTAAAAAAAGTTCTTCGTTTGTTAAAGCAACAATTGTAAATCTGCTTTGATTGTTAGATAAATTGTTAAATATTTGGAATCTTATGAACCACATACGTAGATTAAACATCAAGCATGTGAGCTGTTCTATGATAAGTTGCATGCATCTATGGCAGTTTTACAGGTGAAAAGTAAAAGAGTAATTCACTATCTTTATTCTACCTTGATAAGATCATACCAACAACTTGACAGAAGTGATATTGGCATGCCTTCTGTATACTCTGAAATCGGCCAAATCGGAAATCAACAGCAAGGTAAAGATACATAATGCTTTTATGATGAATAAGCTTTTGAACAATTAGCTACGAAACGCATTTTTCATGATATTTTGTTCATTTATGTATTTTTTTATAAAGGCAGGCTTCGTTAAAAATGAAACTATTGACCTCTTTCCATGTGAATACAATTAATTATTGACATTCACTAGGAAACAAATGAAAAACTACTGATAACCATTTAATCAACATTGCAGATTTTCTCTCATTGGATAAATTGAACACCAAATAGCACATTATATCACATTATTCGTTACTTATAAGTTTATAATACATCTGAACAATCAAGATGTTATCGAATACACAACATTTGCCATGACATTTTATTTCACATTCATTAAATCGTAATGATAACAAAGACTTTTTCATCTGCCATTTTTGCAGATACTAACGATGATGCAACAGATAACAGGTGAGTACTACTGAATGTAATGGCTGAATATTTTTTATTCAAACAAAGGAACAGTTTTACATAGGAACATTTGAAAAGACATTCACATGAATAAAATTATATCTTTTGCACTTTCGAAAATATACTACCCTACTAATAAGCATACACTTTGCACACGATAGCGTAAACAACATGGATAACAATATATTACACGCCTGTATTAATGCCAAATACGGTTACTATGACAGTTTGGACTGTTGGACATTTTTCCAGCCATGGATATAGTTACTCTGACGTTATTGGTAAAATTAGACATTATCGTAGCCTTGGACACTGGCATTGCAATACATGTATCGGATTCACAGTCAAGATTGAAGACCTCAAGGAGACTTTACCGAAATTATTTTGTGTTCAACTTGCTCAAATTAAGTTTTATTCACTAACTCTCTCCATATTACAAAAGTGTTAAATTAATTCAACGAATACTGCTCCAGGAAATCTGTCTGTACGAATAGTAGGTTCGCGGCAATTTATGAAAAATGTGTTTGAAAATAAGGAAAGGTTGCTGTCAACATCATGAATATTTACACCAGAAATCTGTCAAAGCTAACAAGTCATCGTATATAAAATTTTAGTCTTATCATTTCCTGTAGTTGCGTCCAAAGTGTTTCATTTCAAACAACTATGCGACAACTGCATGTAAGTGACCTAAGAGCTATTTAGACATGTTCTTATTCTGCCTCTCCTTCTAACTGTGGTATATCTAGAATATAGTAACTGGTGGCATAATCATTATCAAAAAACATTCAGCTACATATTGCATTGAAACCTTCAATGAAAGACTTCTAATATCGAAAAACCCCTTTCATCGACCTGAGTATGAATTCAAACATACTTATGGAATATATGGAATCGCAGGGCCTTGAGGAACGCAAGTTGATAACGGTCGCCATAATGATCATTTCCATAAGCGAGATGACGTTTGCCTGTTCGTTCCGTTGTTATATACCCTGCTCTTATTTTACTGACTTGGATTGAGCACGATTAACCTGGAGTATTTTGCCATTGAATTAAAAGACGCTTTCTCTTCCGGAACATCTTGTTTTCATCATCTTGTACTGCTACATGAGGTGTTGTGTATTTTTTCTTTTGTTAATATTTTGTAAACGTTTTATTGAATTTTGATTTTTTTGTTATGATCATGATGACATGTTGGTATTTTTTTTAACAATCGAAAATGAGCACGTTTCTTTTTTATTTCCTTTTTTATTTGCAGAAACTATGAGTCACTGAAAGGGCGGTCAAGGGCGAATGTTTATGATGAGTTGCAAAACACTGCATCTGGTAAAATGTTTTGTTACATGATAGTATTGAATGATGCGTGACACTGACAACGAAGCATTGCAATTAATTGTATTTCAAAATTATTCAATGTGGTCATAAACCCCCCATTGTGAAAAGTCTCCCATTTCATTCAAGGTTGGATTAGGACTAAGCTAACATGTTGGCATCTTTGTTATTAATTCCTTCATTTCCGTTCCCTCAGCAAACCTTACTCAGCGTGATTTTTGTTTTGTTTTTCAGGAAGCCAAGGTGTATATACCAACACTTCATGTAAATCTACACATCATTACAATTGAAACATTTGGATGTATGTATATTGGAACGATCGATGGAGATGTGCTAAAACATTGGATTGAATATACATTGAGTAGTGTATATCACGTACTCTGTTGAATATCAAGAGTGTCAATTTAGAAAGAAGACATTTTTGACTTTGTTCTTTTTTCAAGACAGAATAAAATATCCTGCAGATTAGAATATGACAACCCTAGATTCCCAAAATATAGGGTTTTATCAGGTGCCCGAATTCTGGTAGTATCAAAGGTTCTTCATGTTTAATATACATTCTAAATATTTGATGTGCGACTTGTATTTCTATGACAGATTCCAGCTATGGACAAGATATTTATTGGTCCTGGTCATGTATATTGTTCTGATCAAGAACGCTGTTTTTATTTACATTTCACATGCACAATGTAGATGGTTGATATTGTATATATTTGTCTTGTTTAAACTCGGGTGACGTTTGTTGTTTCGAATTGATTGCCGGTAATACTCGAGTATATATTCTCTATTGACTTGAATTGTGGAGTATTTTTTTAAAGAATACATAGAATCAATCAGATCAATTTAAATACAACGTTATATAAAATCTACCTTGTATATGATATTTGTACACGACAAGTGATGAACGAAACAAATGGGTGTGGAAAGTACTTTTGTATTATTGTCCGACAACCATACAGTAATATGATTTTATATAAGTTATAAAATACGAATGTGATTGATCAACTAGAGTACACATGTTAAATGCTAATTATGTTTTACTTCATTCATTCATGAATCGACTCTTTCATTCCCCCAAAAAATAAACGATGGAACTAGCATTGTTTGATAATTAGCTTGTTTTCTTTTTCATGTCTTACAACTATATACTACCATCAATAATATGTATATGCAATAGTTCTTACCTACAGATATGGTTTGGTAGTCAGGCTCCTGTACTTAAAGTCTCTATATATTGTTCAATCATCTGTGATCATATACAAAGTATTTTTGTTAATATAATTAGCCTGTGATTTATATTGTCATGTCTGTATATCAAAACATGTAGATGTGTACTATTAGAGTTTAATTTCATATAAAATGCAAATTTAACGCACGGCCGACTATTTTCGCGGAAAAGATATCTTGCCTTTTTTCTAATATTTTTATATTTATGTTTTTTCTTGTATCTTTTTAATGATGTATTCACTATCTAATTTCCATTTGCAATAAAGCTTTATAACGTGTGTTTATTTTGTCTTTCATTGAGTCACATTTCAATCGATGCTATCATGGTAATAGTAAATATTTCCTTTATCAATATGTATTTCACATTGCTACCTCCTATTTCCTGTTTAGGTCTATGCAAGTCAGATAGGTTATGAATTCCCATCCTGCCAAACGCATAGATACACGTTCGGTGGTTAAGGTTAGGTGTAATTGTTTATATTACTTCCACAAATGGCTCAAACGAGATAAACGTCCGTACGTACATGACTATGTCCTTCTGAATTCCTACATTAAGAAATATTTCATTCACGATACATCATTCTATTAGTCCCTCTCTCAATATAACAGTATACAACTAGACATAACACGCGATGATAAAGCTTTCAACCCACACCCGGAATGAATAACGATTCTTAAACAATCAAACAAAAATAAGAGATGACGAGAAAACGGGAAACTAAAAGGGATGAAGTTCTAGTTATACTAACTAATGATAAACCTTTATTAAAGAGAGTACAACCAGTGTAATATTTCCTGCAGAAACTTCACTGGGTTCGATAATTAACAAGATATCAACATTAATAAAATTTTCATGTACAAATTGCGGAAAATGAACTTTAAAAAATTGGTAAATGTTAATTAAATAAATTACTTATATTTGTGTCTGATTCGGTCTAAAATAATGATAAACATGAACATATCGGTAATCGGGTAATTTCAGAAAACTGGTTGTATAGATAATGAAATGCTAAATTCTTACAATAAAGTGATGAAGTCATACTTTTTCATATCTTTTTTCAGTTTGAATTTGCTAATTTTTCATCTATTTGCGTTACTGTTGTGGGTATAATTGCCACTATAGGTCATATAACAGCAGATGTTCCGGAAGAAGTAAGCGTTTTGTTTCATCGACGACACTCGTCATGAATATCCTGATCTAGCAATGTAAGTAATGTTACGTTCTCAAATGAGAACGATATATACAACAATGGAAATAGCAGGCAAACGTACGAGCATCAAACACGTCTAGCTTCATAATACACAAATATATATAATATTGCGCAATGAGATCACCATGACGACCGCTAAACTTTTCAATAATTTTCATCAAAATGCATCAATTGCGTTATGGGTTCATCCGTCATTTGGCGACTTCTTGCAAGATAATAGAGATAGTGAGAACAGGTTCTTGAATATCAAATTAAATGCGCCAGGTAAACACCATGGGATGGAGATGCTATAAAAAGGACAATTAACACAAGGGATATTGCAATTATCACGTTTATCAAACAGCTTAATGGAAATAATGGAAAACTGTTCACATTGGTTTCGTTGTAGGAAAAGATCAAGAAAAGCTGCTGATGTAGAGGAGTTTGTCGTGTCTTTGAGAACCGATTCTGGTATGATAACATTTAAAAAAGAGAAAGAAATCTGCTCTAACATGCACTTATTGAATGTAGAGAATTTGATCTCACGTCTAGATTCCTGAAGGCAGTTTTGATGTCAGAGTTAAGGTTATTTAATAGTTCGTCTATTTCTGATAAACAGCATTAAATATCTCCTTACTAACACAATATTTAATTTCAAAGAGGTTACTTGTATAGCTTAGAATTTACGCGGGGGCAACATTTTCGTTTTTGTGGTATATCGACGGAATCATGAGACGTATGCGTTAAAATATCTACGATTTAAAACTGTAGCTTACGAGTGTTGATATATGGGTTATAATATATCTTATACCGAAACTGTGTATTTGATATTCCATGGTATTCGGTTTATCACGGTGATAAAATCTTTAGTGAGTAGTTCATCAGTAAATCTCCGATCGTAAGCGAATTCTTGGTAAGTGAACGACACTTTTATCAGAACAATACTATCTTCGGGTTCACCTTTAGATTCGCTAGTTTGAAATGTATAAATAGTTTGCTGTGAAAGCAAGAAATCCTTATGTTATGCGTAGTTCATGTATATGTTAGTAAGTGTATATAATTTAAATTTATAGAAAACACGCTATCAAGGTTTCTTGTTGATCTCGGCACTAAAATATGATTTTCGAAGTACCTTCCAAACTTTAAAAAAACACGATAATTGTTCAGATACACGAGTTAACTATCGGTCCATAACGTAAGCGACCATTTATATTTATAACTATTAGGCTACAACGACCAGGAAGTTCACAGGTCGGCTGAGTGTAACACTGAAATAACAGTTGTTAGTTATATAATAGTGTAAGACATCGCCAACGGTAACAGTAGTGTTCTTTCATTACTGGAAGTAGGTAGGCTATAATGTAAGAAGAGTTTTTCTCTATCCTTTTTATTTTGCTTCAATTTATCGTGATGGTAACATTTATATTCAATCGATTTATTATTATATACTATGATCTTTACAACTTTTGATACTGAAAGTGATCACAGAACGTGTTTTTGCTTTGAAATGAAATTAGCAAATGATATTTAAGTTATTAAACAAACAAGAAATATATAGAAATATATCCCTTTCTTGTCCATACTTTTATGATCTAACATCTACCTTAAATTCCTCACTCGGGTCGTCATGCCGTTTTCGAACACCATCCAAATTTGACATTCATCTTCACCACGAATTTCGTCAAAGCCGACACCTCAGACTGCAGGGTTTCATACTTCCTGTTGACCATTGATGGCATATGTCACAGCCAACACAATTCTAAAACTACAGCATCTTGATATTCAAAAATGAGTTATCGGGACGATAATGTTTCACGGATGTCAATGTAGAGGTGTTTTCCCTGTTTAAGTAATAACATAAAATTCTCTAACTCTCATTATTTGCCATGATTGTTAGAGTACTTGATCGTATGTACTAATTGTTTCACACTTCCTTCAAACCCCTTTATTTATTTCAGTGACCAGGCCTATATTAACTTAACATGTATAGCTAATATAACCTTGTATAATGAAGTTGACTATATTCCTGTATATTGGACCGAACAATACTATACCATTCATTAGGTCGATTTACACTTGCTATGCTATTCTTGATTATTACCTAGTACAATTTTAGGATGACCTTATCAAATTTATAGGGAATTAAAAAAATCTAGACAAAGAGATGTTTTATGATGTTTTTGTTCTTTCGTAAGGTTTACAAATGATGCAGGTTGATTAATGCTATGAGGAATATTTACATTGAATAATGTTCTCATTTTTTGCAATATAAAGCTGGACATTTCGAAGCTGGTTTGCCTAGTGGTTCTATTGTTGCATAACATGTTTTCATTTGGGAACGTGACATTTCTTACTTGGATGGATCAACATTTACATGACGGATATTGTTGATGAGGTCATTTCTGTCTGCTCATATATTGCCAAAACATATCATCATAGTTGAAGTTTGATTATGATTAAGTTGACATGTTGATCTTACTCACTTTTATGACACATGTCAAAGAAGATCGTCAAATCTATGCTAAAATAGGTTTATCATCACCACCATTATCATCATCATTATTCGTCCATTATCCTAAAGTCAAACACCGTAATAGGTGTGTTTATTCCACATAGGTAAGGTGACATGGTCAATTGATTATCCACATCTTGAATAATACGTACATAACGCTATCGGATATAATTTGACCATTGTGGTTCATACATTTATATTTTTCTCACAAGGCAATAGAATGGATTAAAGATGGATTACAGGTTGTAAAACAGGAATAGAAATTGCAGAGGTTTAACATTAAGATGACTGTTCCCCTGGACGGATAACACTATAATTTAATATTTCATCAGAAAAGGGCAGCCTAAACAGTTTGAAATTAAAACAGAAGCGTTGAAATACATTAAGAGTGTTGTGGTATTCATGGTCCTTTTCATAAACTAGAGCAAAATCTTACATTTGCCAGAAAAGCCCTGTAATTTACAAATATCATAAGTGTCACATTACGACATTGCAATGCTTTTGAAATTAAAGCACTCTAGTAAATATCACTTCTCTATGCAAAATTAGAATTCGATAAAGTAGAGCCAAATGTAACGAATCACACCTCAGTCAGTGAACTTTTGATCTTCTATCTATCACGTGATATGTAAGTGCTGTTCCCTGAACTTTTGTGAAGTGTAATATTTATACTTCGTGATGAAATGTCGGAAAAAGTGGGGTTGAAAGTACTTAAGTCAGCGTGAATTTAACATCACCAAACGCATGCAAAATTAACAACATATATATCAATAATGTTTCACAATATTTAATATTTCTAATAGAGTTGTCCTATACACGGGTACATAAGTGATGAAAAGAATTGAGTCTTCTTAATTATAAATATGATAATTGAATATTCATATAATAATAATATTTTTTTATATATATAAATGCCCTATACAACACCTGATCTGAGTATATTTTTAATCAATTAGTTGAACTGACCACAAGAGGGAGTTTGTACATGGTTTACATACTGAAACAGAGACAATTCAAATCTCTATCCGAGCTCTTTGGAATGATCTCCTCTTTAATCAAACTTAATAAACCATTTCATTTATCTTGAATACTATATATTACTGATGATGGATGGAGTTTTAATAAAAATGAATTAATGAGAGTTTTTTTTTCGAAAACCTTTTAGCTATTTTTACGATTAATTGTTTTCATGATAGAAGATGTGTATGCTATACTGCTAAGTTCCATTTCTCATCTGTGATGACGGTTGAGTGTTTCATGAATAATGGATGCAGCCAATAATTTCCTTTTTGTGTTTCTGTATGTCATCATTTTACTTGTACACGTTCGTGTCGTTTGAAACAGAAGCGTTATCATACACCGGATATCTTTAAGATAACAAAAAACACTGAAATGCGACATTTGTCAATTTTTAAAGATGTACGTCAAAGAGTTGGGTTATATGACAATCATTATTAATATTGATATGATTGTGGCGATTAGGTAGGCTGTTTGAACGAAAATAATAGATTTAATCCACCTTTAACAAATTAGCATATTGTGAAACATGTAGAACGAAACTGAATTATTATCTTCAAATGCTTTCATAACACGTTATAGTGAATATATAAGTACTTGTATAAGCATTATGTCTCTAGATCTATCATAACCTTGCTGTTCTCTGTAACCCTTATATACATGCAGTGTTCGGATGGGCTATACTTACCTTACACATTAATATACGTTGAAAGGCGAAGATAATCCACAGTGTATAGGAGCCATTCAACGTTAAACATTTTTGGTTGAACTGCGTTGACCTTCTGTCTACTCAAGAAAACTTTTATCATGTCGTTACAAGTTTAAGGACACCCCCTACCCCCCTCCCCACCCCCCCCCCCACCCCCCACCATCACCACCCCCCCCCACCCCCCCTTGGGACTGTCGATAATATATTATATAATATGTTTTGTGATAATATACCCATTTAAGGCATTTGACTTTTACTTTTAAGTTCGTTTAATGTTATTTCCATTCGGATCGCTGTGTCTTTCATCGGTTGATGGTCCTGATGACAATTTATCTGTTGACGGCGGGATTGTGTAAACGTGGACGACAGCGTCTTTTACACTATAATGAGGCACTTAACACAAATTCTCATGCATAGTATCATGGTCCGAACAAGTCGATACTTCACATTCATGAGGACTATTAATGTTTCATGACTTCCCATTCCAGATCAGTTTTCTATAAATGTTTAGTTCCAATCTGTGGACGATATATGTCTTGCTATATCTAATGTATGGCTGTCTGGCAATTTTCCAAAATTCAAACTGGCCACATTTGGTATTGGCTACGTGGCATACATGTCGTGCATTTCTGTAACCTACAATTGTAAGGAACGATGACTCTGGTAGATATTAGGGAACAAGCAGAATAAGTTCCAGTGATAAGCATTTCACACATTTATTGCAATGCTATTTACATTGATTTCACATTCAGAGTGTGTGCATCAGGGCAAAACATAAAACAAACAGCTGTGCAGAAAAAAGTCTTGTCACATATGCATCACCAGTGTGTCAGCCATGACACCACCACCAGGGACCTGTCAAAGTTTTGAATAGAAACAAGCCACAGTTAATACTAAGGTAGATAGAAGGACTTTCCTAAACCGAATTTACACAATTTATACTGAGTTGCGAGAATATATGTAAAATCACTACAGCTTAAAATGATAATATACGAGATCAATCGTTTTATATGTAAAAAGCGCTTGAATTAAATTGCATTTATACCTCTGTGTGGTATTCCTTGGCTTCCGGTGTCTCCTTTTTGTCCCTTCGCTCCTGACCTCCCTCTCGATCCTGTAGCCCCTGTTCTTCCGGTTGCCCCCTTCTGTCCTTTAGTACCCGCAATTCCAGTTCTTCCTCTCGGTCCGCTAGTTCCTTTGATTCCAATGTCCCCTTTCAGTCCCGGAGCACCAGGCGATCCAGTGTAACCTCTATGTCCCGTACCCCCTGTTCTCCCGGTTGTACCCTTCTGCCCTTTCGTACCTGTTGCTCCAGTAGGCCCCCTCGGTCCAGTAGCACCTCTCACTCCTAAGTCCCCTTTCGGTCCAGAAGGACCAGGTGATCCAATTTGACCTTTAAGCCCCGTAGTCCCTGGTATTCCAGTATCTCCCTTTTGTCCTGTAGTACCACGTATTCCAGGAAGTCCCCTCGGCCCGGATGCCCCTGTTCTTCCCATGGCCCCTTTTTGTCCTGTAGCCCCGGTATTCCCTATATCCCCCTTTTGCCCCGCCGTACCAGGCGACCCGGTATGTCCCGTCGGCCCTGTAGCTCCTTTTGGTCCCTGGAAACCTGGTATTCCATTATCCCCTTTAGTCCCCTTTATGCCCGAATCACCCTTTTCGCCTTTTTGCCCGGAACCTACGTAAATGTATAGTCAGAAACATTTCACATCTAACAGATTAAGTTCAGCAAAATCGTATTATCATGCATGAAATCGTGCAAATAACATCATCACTCTGCTATAAGCATATGGAATGGAAACTTTCAACAACATTCTTATATGGCATGAAGTAAGTATAGATTATAACGACATAGAATTAATCTTCCTACCTTTTGATCCTGTCCAAACATTAGACAAATGAAAAGAAGGATGGTAAACTGTTCCTACAAAAATAAAAAAGGAAAAGAAAAATTGCTTGCGAATGACATCACAAAAAACAAAAAAAAACAAAAAAACACAAAACTGTTGATAATTTTAGTGAAACTCAACATGAACAAGGTATTTCATAGAAGATGCCATTTTATATCGATTCTACCAAAGAAACTTTTCATTTGGCAAGAACCACTCCTTGATCAATGATTTCTCTTAATCTTAGAATGAATATGTCCAAATAAATAAGTACACTTAATACTAAATATAGATGTCTTACCTCCAGATCGCTTGCTATGAGTTACCTCCCCCTGGTCTTTGTACGGGTATTGATATTTTTCTTCTGATTTCAATAACATATATATGTCCACAATCCTCTGTTTACTCCTTTAATATAAATCGTTACATGAATCGTAAAGCAGTGAATGTTAGCCGCCTTTTCTAGATCTCAATGGGGGTTAACTTTCTGTGTAAGAATATATATATCTTAATAACAGTTTAAAAGATCCGACGTCTTTAGCCGATGAGCCGGTGATTATAATATGTCAATATCCGCCCATGTAATAATTCTTATTATAAATATGTCCAATGAATTGTGTATATTTTCTCTCTCTGATTTACATCTGATTATCATATACAATACTTATTTCTTCAAACGTTATACTTAGAAGCACTGGTGATTCCAAGAAGGACGATAACTCTGCACGATTCAGTAAATTTATCACAATTACAATAACTGATTTCAAATTTTATCAAGAGAAAGGTGTCACTTAGCTGCGTCTTCTATAATTGCACGCTTACATTTAATTCTTCATGTGATTTATGATAACAAGACACATGTGTGATTAATGCTGTTCTTGAGTTAACAGAAATGAGAAAATTATGTAATATGGGGTTGTTGCACCGCCTATCTAGACTTCGAATCCTGGAATGATGAAACGGCTGTATGAAGCAGTGTAAATCAGCGTGTGACTCTAACTCTAAAGTTAAGAAATGCTATTCAGTTGTGCGTCTTTTGTACAATCACTGATATCAAGTCTTATTTCCATACATGCTTGATGTCATTCACCTCTTCCCAAATCTAATCATAAATTAGTTAAGCCTGTACTAACCTGACAATCTTCAAATCTTCATTTACTTTGTCATACTGTTTGCGAATATTTTCCAATTCGATATTCATCGTCGCCATGAATTTCTTCAAAGCCGACACTTCAGTTTGAAGGGTTTCATATTTCACATCCTGTTGATCATTGATGGCAAATGTCACAGCCAACACCATTATAAAAACCGCACCATACACCATCTTGATTCGATATCACGAATGACCAAACTGATAAGCTGCCTAAATGTCTAAGTTCAATCATTATTCTGGTTTATCATACAACCGTCTTAATGTAATCATTTTCATATGAATTAGAATTAGATTTTTGTTCGAACATTATATTATATGTATTAATCATAATTTACTCTAAACTTCCACCCTTTATGTTTAACGCAGTGACTAGTTATGAATTGTTAACGCACATGTTCGCATCTTTAATATAACCATACTTTCCCATACTTGACCTAAATCAGTTATCAGTACAGGTCAAAAGTTAACAAATGTAGAATTGCTCTCAGATTTTGTCATCGTAAGTTATTTATTATCACAGTAGAATCTTTACTATAAATCAATAGGCAAAAATAACAGTGTAGGACAGTGCAAATAAACTTAATTTTAAGCATAGAATAATAGCGTAGCTGATCTTTTGGTAGTGGTACGGTAACATACATTTAAGTTTATAAGATAATGTGAGTTTAAATATTGTTTTTTTGTTTTTTTTTTTTTTTTTTTTTTTTTTTGTTTTTTTTTTTTTTTTTTTTTTTTTTTTTTTTTTTTTTTTTTTTTTTTTTTTTTTTTTTTTTAGCTTTTACAATAATCGTGTAAATTTATCCAAACAAGGTATACAACATACTGCTGGTTTCAACAGAGATATAAACACGGATATTGGTATTACAAACTCCGTGCCACTTATAGCATGATCATAATTATCACGTAAACGATCATTCGAAAAAATGATACAGAACTTCTACATAGAACCAGTATAACGGATTACAGTATTGGTAAGAAAACGCTGAATGAAGTCGAACATAGGTGTATGAGTACTGGTTAGCGCTGGATAGGCTGCTCCCATTTTGCGCTCCTGACAATCTCATGTTTTTTTACCAGATATACTTCTTAGACATCATCCTGATTTAGCAGATACCTACATTGGTGCATGGTGATCCTACTAATCAGTTTTGGATTGTCTTATGAACTTCCTGTTTTATGAACTTTTGGATGTTTTAATTTCATGTGATACTCTATATGACCACACTGTGACTATCAGACCATGACTTTTACCTACACCAGGTGCCTATTGTTAGCACTGAGACGTGTGAAGCATGTGCCTAATCAGCCGTGGCAGAATGTTATTGAGAGATTAAATCCGTGTGCTACTAAGTCTCCATCTACCCTGACCAGTGAATTCTGCTCACGCACTAGGAGAGGTACTAAGGGTGGCAGAAAAGTTATAAGAACAATACCCTGTATAACTACACATGGACAAAACACCATCAACACTGTTATTAGGCAGACAGGTGTTAATAGAAACAACTTAGTACACCTAATTACACAGCATGGCCTCTCACCATCATCTACATCTGATGTTAATGATACTGTGTGTGTTATACCATCTCATGTTTCCATAAGGTCCAAGACATCAGGACAACAAAGACTTGTCAATTATGGAAACCTCAAATATCTAAGGAAACATCATGGACATATTCCATCGCCTTCCCGCTGAAACTGATAACATTAAATTGTCGTTCTGTTAAGAACAAGGCATCGTCCATTAGCGATCTATTGATATCTAATGACTCAGACATTTTGGCAATAACTGAAACCTGGTTGGGTACTTCAATAGACTCGAGTGTAATTTCTGAACTTCTGCCCACTGGTTACAGCATCCTGCATTCCTCTCGTGATAGACGGGGAGGATGAATCGCAGTGGTTTACAAGTCCAATTTGGTGTTAAAGAAAGTGGTGTCTCCAGATGAGAATGACTGGACTAACTTTGAGCATGCAGAGTACTCAGTAACTGCTGGCTCTACTTCACATTTTAGACTCTGCGTAATATATCGGCCACCGCCTTCTAAAAAGAACGGTTTTCGAAACAGTCAGTTCTTCGAACAGTGGTCTTCCTATCTTGATCTCCAAGCTGCAATATCACAGGATGTTGTTATAACTGGTGACTTGAACTTTCACCTGGATGACTCTAACGACAGCGACGTCCGTCGGTTTTTGAATCTCTTGGAAGGCTACAACCTAGTTCAGCACGTTACAGGTGCCACACACATCCATGGACACACGTTGGATGTAGTAATCACACGCGATGGAAGTCCTCTCATTCTGTCTGTGCCATCCATCTTTGATCCTTATCTCAGTGATTCCAAAGGTAATATCATGTGTGACCACCTGGCTATTTGTACCTCCTTAAATGTCTCAAAGCCCAAACGAATCAGGAAAGACGTCTCATTTCGGAGATTCAAATCAGTTTGTATGGCAGATTTGATATTAAATCATCCCATACTCTACAGTCTGTAGATGGCACAGTGGATGACCTCGTAACTGCCTACAATACTGGTACAAGTACCATCATTGACAAACATGCTCCACTGATTTCTAAAGTTGTGACAGTGAGGCCTAATACTTAATGTTCTGGTGTAATGTTATGGAGAGAACACGACTTGCAATCCACAATCAGTTATACAAAGACCAGTGTCAAAAGTGAGCAAACGTCTTATTCAAACCAAACGTGAATATTACTCCAGTAAAATTGAACATTGTCGCAACAATCATAAACAACTGCACAAACATGCCAAAGGCTTAATGGGTCAGAAACATGATACTGTTCTTCCAAGTTGCGGAAGAACAGTTTAGTTCATTCTTCATAAACGAAATTGTCACATTAAGAAATGAACTTGCTCTGATGAATGCTTCGGTGGATGTTAATACTGTTTCTATGTCATCAGACAGTGAATTTCAAGGTGAACATTTGACAAAGTTTGACCCGGTATCTATTGACGATCTTCGCAAGATTATCATCAGTGCGCCTTCAAAATCCTGTGAACTTGGCCCTATTCCTACATACCTTTTGAAACAGTGTGTGGAACACATGCTCCTGCTGATTTCTGCTATTATTAACAAGTCTCTGGTTGAGCAAAAGGTACCGATTTGTTTTAAAACAGCCATCATTCGGCCATTGCTAAAAAAACATGGTTTGGACAAGGAGGTGATGAAAAACTACCGGGCGGTATCAAACCTGTCATTCCTGTCTAAAATTCTGGAGAAGGTAGTGGCAAAGCATCTAGAAGCACATCTCGATGTAAACCATCTTAACGACAGCCATCAGTCAGCTTACCGTCCATTCCATTCAACAGAGACTGCTCTTTTGAGGGTACACCATGATATAGCAAACGCGTTGGACTGCAATTGTTCAGCTGTTCTTGTACTGTTGTACTTATCCTCCTTGTTTGATGTTATTGATCACGGTATACCGTTTAAGCGGTTGGAACATACATACTGTGTGTCCAATGATGCACTCTCCTGGATACAGTCTTACTTAACTGACAGGAGGCAAAGTGTGGCTACAGGCAGTACAACTTCCAAGGATAGAACACTATCTTTTGGTGTACCCCAAGGATCTGTACTTGAGCCAAGAAAGTACTGTCTTTACTCCAAAATGATTGGAGATATTTGTCGCCGTTACAACCTGTCCTGTAATTGCTATGCGGATGATACCCAATTGTGTATGGTTATAGGACCCACTGACAATTTGGTTGACCTATCTGCACGGATGGAAGCATGTCTATCAGACATTAGTTCATGGACAGTTTCGAATATGTTAAAACTGAATCAAGACAAAACGGAGGTCATTGTGTTCACTCCAAAACACAAAATGAAAAACATTCCAGCATTCCAGGTTCAAGTTGGCAACAGTTCTATCAGGTCTGTCCCATTTGTAAAGAACCTTGGAGTTTTCATGGATAGCTCTCTGAGTATGGAAAAACAAGTGACTTCTGTAACAAAGTCATGCCACTTTCAAATAAGGAATATCGGGTGTATTCGGCAATTTCTGTCCACTGGTAACTGCAAGACTCTAGTGCAATCACTCGTAACATCCAGACTGGACTATGGGAACGCTTTGTTATATGGCATTCCAGGTACATTGGCTAAGCATCTCCAGAGAGTGCAAAATACTGCGGCGCGACTCATTACAAGAACTAAAAACGGGACCATATAACACCTGTGCTGGAGTCCTTACAGTGGCTTCCGTTTGAATATCGCTGTCAGTATCAGCTGCTCATGACTGTGTATAAGGCTCTCCATGGGAACTCACCAGAGTACCTCAAGGAACTTGCTTTGCATTGCTTATTTCCCCCAAAGCAAGGGCTGCCACATATGGACGCCGCTGCTTTGATACAGCAGCAGCACACTTGTGGAATAATCTTCCATTTTCCACGAGGAACATAGAATCTCTGTCTGCTTTTAAATCCGCACTGAAAACACATCTTTTTAAAACAGCCTTTAGATTGTGATAGGATTTCTATTGATAGACAGTGTATGAAATAGTTTTAATGTTTTAGGTTTTTTTATGGACATTTTACATTGATGGATAATGAACGATATACTTTTATGCTTAATTTTTTATGTTATTTTATGTAAAGCGCTTTAGTGTAATCCTAACGAATTAGATAAGGCGCTATATAAATTTAGTATATTATTATTATTATTATTACATCATGTTTGTACTTTTTGTAGCGACAATTATGTGTACTGTTGTAAAATCTAATGACTTAAATGAGTCATAAGTTATTTTCATATTATAATACTGTCAGAAGGACACATTGACGGGTAGACACGTCTGTATTCTTCTGGATTCGCACGAGTAATAACTGGGTAATGGAAAGATACGATGGTTTCCGGGTGTAGCTATCTGGAATCCTCAGAATTGTAGCAAAGCTACAGTCACTTGACAACACTACAGGCAATAAAATCGGTAAGTATTTAAAAAGTATAGATAGGTTCACTTTTTATTTGTTTATCTTAATGTATTCAAAGTCTTAGCAGAAATAATAGGTCATTATCATATAACAGCTAAAAAGAAAGAAATCCACAAGTTTTGAGGGGGATTTCGCCAATTAAAGAAAACAACGCAATTGACATCTAGTTTTATTTATCAAAACATACTTTTCGGGGGACAGTTATACATTATGAAATTT